ATCCTGCCATATAAGACATATTAAGGGTATATTTGAGTGTGACCAATGTCCAATAGGTCTGGTTTTTCATGTGCATCCTTACTTCTGCCAGTAGAGCGTGAACGGCAGAAATGCAGCTTAACTGATGCTTTTGCTCATGCAGGTACTGACAGGAAGGTGTTGATGTGCCAAAGCATTTAAAGGAGTCAAATTAATGTGTGCCAGAGACAGCCCACGCACGTGCAGCCCTTCCTTTCGTAGGTGATAAGCATCACGCACCGCGAACCAGCAGATTGATCACAGCAGTGCCCAGGCTTTGGGGAGGGTGGGGGAGGGGGGCCTATTGGGGCAGGGAGCCAATAAAATATCACATCTGCATTAAAATGCCATCTCTAGGGTCCCAGCACAGGGCCTGCTATTTCAGGGATGCCTATTTAAAGGCTGCTGAAGTGTGGGCTCTCCACGCTGGAATAGCACCGTACACCAACTCCATTATTTATGGGCCTCATCTCTATTTTACTGGTTTACCGAAGTGGGGGTGGGGTGGGTACGGCAGTCATCACCACTACTTGAACAACATGCGCCTAATGATGTCACAGGGCTGAGAGGGCTCGTGGGGGTGGGGCGAGGTGTGCGATGAAGACTCGAGAAAACGGTTGAAAATGTGAGGATGAAAGGGGGCGGGGGGCTGGAGGCAAGCGAAGGTGTGAGGGAGGGAAATGACATTTCTAACATGGGAGCTCACTGAAGCCTTGCACCGTAGCTGCAGGTTTGAATGGTGCCGTAGGATGCATGTCCTTCTCTTGGCGTCATTACCTCCGTCATATCAATGAATCATCCCCAGGAAACAAATGGAAGTGTTTCATCAGATTGGTTGATTCGGACATTGCTGCAGGAGCCGTCACAGGAAACCGCACAGTTTGGGCTTTTAATCACGTTCTTAATTATTCTCTGGTGTGCGTGTGTTTAACTGAGCAATAAGAAGATGGATCATTACTTTTGGGCTATTAGGCAAAACATAATGCAGCAAGAGGTCATTCACATAATCACCATTTAATCTACATTTGTTCATTAGATAAATCTGAGTTGCTTGGATTGGAAAAGAAAAAAAATCAACCATCCTAAATATTTAGCACTGTGAAATTGAAGGATTGGGAAATTAATCAACATCGACTGCCTTTTAAGCTCCTCATTGGCTCTCGAACCCAATAATCAGCGCTTGAATTTGTATTTCATCCTTCATATGGCTTTGTGACTTTTCATGATGTGACATTTTGACCTAAATGTTACTAAAACACATCTTAGCCTGATGATGTCTTTTAGCGTGCAGGTGTGCTTCTCCCTTGATGGCTATTATTAGATGACCAGAGTTTTGACACAACCCTATCTAGCTATCTGTCAAAATCACCACGCTTCACATTTTGTGTCCGTGACCTTTACTCGTATTACTCCCTCACTTATTATTCTTTTCGTGGTTGTCACGGAGACATATGTTGAAGGAGCAATTGCGCACTTGTATGTATGGATTTCTTTTTAGTATGCACCCCAACCATTCTCTCCATTATTGCAATAATTAGACCTGCTCAATTGACGCCAGCAGCATCACGCTGGCAGTGGACAGTCTTTAATCATGTGTCTGTCAACACTTAGCAAAGGAAGAGCGAAAAACAGGAAAGGAGCTTGTCCGTTAGCGCTAGTGTGTCGGCGTGAGTGAGAGTTCCTCGTGTGTGTCTATCTTCTCCTGCAGCAGAAGGGGGATCGATATGGTTGTTTGTTTCTGTTGAAGCAGCTCTTTGCATATGTTTATATGTCTGTGCTGTAGCTGCGCTTTATGACTTTAGATTGACTCTGCAACCTCTCCAACAATAAAAAGCCACATGCACAATGCAGATTAGGAACGGCTGTTTCCCTCTGCATCTAGCACAGATGGTTAACAAGTCTCTCTGCTTCTGTACGTGTTTATCTGTGTATGTAACCCTATTGTGATTTCTCAGATTGTGTCTGATCTACGAGTGTGTCGATAGGCGCAGGGGTGTGGGCCTCTTAGAGAAGCCATGTTTTATGCATGAAGGCCAAGGGTGGGGCCCGTTAGGGGGGTTTAGTCGGTGGACACACAACAGCCAGATCTGCGGACACCATGACTACTTGGCAGAGATTCCCAAGAAAGCTCCCATAGGCACTGTTCCTCCTTTTTAACTCCTTTGTTCCTAAGCATTCAAGTGCAATTGTGTTTCTTTCTCCATGTCCCCAGTGTTCCCAGTACACATGGAAAGTAAAAACAGCAGCATGTGTGTATCTCAATTTAAGACTGAATTCGAAGACAGCAAGCGTCTTTGATCAGATCTGTCACTCACTATTATGTTTTGAAGGGTTCCTAGCTGTCTCACTGCTCCTAACCTTTCTGCAGCGACAGTGCCTTCAGGGCTTTGATTCGATGCCTCACTCTGCCAGTCTCTGCCCCCGGCTCCGTGTTACGACAAGCCGATACAGAAAGTATTTCTGATTGCTTTTGTCAGCGAGGGTTGAGTGAGAACCCATGAAAATATTCTTATGGGCAAATAGACTGTCTTGTGAGATATACAATAATTTGTTTGAAATTATGTTCAGTGTTTTACACATTAAGTGAGATGATTAAAATGCCTAGAGCTTGCAGTTTGCTGTGGTTAAAGAAAACTATTATTATCTAAAGTACATATCAAAAGCTGCATATGTGCTATAATACTCATTTGGTGATAAAATCTGGTAAATGTTCTCTGTGACTTTTAGGCTGTCTAAACTTCACAGTGAGGTTAGCCTAAAATGTTTTATGGCTAGAAGGTTGTGGGTCCCAGGTGGAAAAATTCAGTTGGGCCCCTGAGATAGGCACTTAAGCTGAATTACCCCAGTAAGATATACAGCTGTTTAAGTGTGGCCTCATAGTACAGGGGCCAAAGGAAAGATATGAGCCCCTGTCAGGCTGAGTAACAGTCAGATTTTTTGGGGCGTACTTTATCTTGAGCCAGTGGAAACAAGTGGACGTGCTATCTCTTCTCTCAAAGAGATCTTGTAGTGTAGGAAGTGAAGCTGTCACTGCTGGAAAGATACTAAATTATAATGGTTAAATGTTTGTATTAAAGCGCCATACATCCAATCAGAGATCTAAGGTCAAGTCGTGTTGGAGAATGCCCCACTTCTTATTAGGCTCCTAAATGGAATAATCGAAGTGCTAGACCACTGTTGCAGACACATGGGTCTAAAGTACTGCCACTCTTTCTAAAGTATCTGTCTGTGGTCCATTAAAACATTTTTTGGTGGTTTGGTTTTATTTCCAATCAGACATATATTGTGCTTTCTCTTTGTTATCCCCTTTCCAAATATGAATGATAAGTAAGAAGGGATTGAAATCCATTCCCAGTATATAATTGTCTGCTGTGCAAAATAAAGACAAGTGGGAACAGAAATATAAATAAGTGAAAAGACAAACAGTCAACAAGCAGCTGTCAGTCAGAAATAAACTCGTTCTGCAAGTAATGAATTGACGCCGGCTACAGGTTAGGAAGAGCATGAGGTTATGAAATAATAAGGGTCTGTCCCTCTTGTTATGCTAACAGTGTTCAGATAAGTCCTCCTGTGTCCTAGTTAATTATGGTTGACGTTTAAATGAGTACACTTGTGTTGAAGAAAGAGGGAGAACTGTGGAAGAAGAGGGCCTCTCTCTAATTGAGTTTGTCGCTGGCTCCACCTTCAATGTTGCTTTTGTTCTGCCGCAAGTAGAAATGTGAAGTGCAGCTGAGTGAGGCCCTCTGTAGGGATATCGATACTGGTTATGCTACATAGCAACGTGTGTGTGTGTTTGTTGTCTCTGTCTTTGTGTTAGTATGCATCTTTAAAAACATGCCAGGTCTACATGCTGAATGTCAACATATGGCAGGAAATCCATACTCCCCGTATCTTACATTTATATCGGCATGTATGTAGACATCACCTTGAGCACCTGATGACTCAGATAGAGTTGTACATCAGATGCTCCTATAGCTGGAACATGTTTCTTCTTAAAGGCTCAGAATAACTGTTGCATCACAAATCACTAATTAGATATTCCTTTTGAAAGAAGAAGCTATATTTTTGCATTTATAGAGAAAATAATCTCTTTCAGTTGTCTTCTGTCGCAAGTTACTTCTGTCAACAAATAACTTGCTTGGATTAAAAGAAAAATTACAATGCGATTACTCTCAACCTCAGTGCAAGGGAACAATATTTGCGGACAAAAACATTTAAGTGTCTCCATTTGTGTAGAAAGAAAACGTTTTATAAAGTTTTATAAAATGTTACAGTCCTTTGGAGAATGCAACAACAGGACAGTAATAGGTTGTAGCCATCATAGAAAAAAGCTTAAAGTGGCTCCCCTTTAGTATCTAAGGAATGTTCAAGGCATTATTATAGTGGCTGTGGATGTCAGTATAAGTGTCAGTCTATGTGTCCTCCACCTTCAATCTTGTAGTCACACAAGCTGTGTATCTTTCTGAACAAAATATTTTTCTCCATAAAAAGGAAAGAAGAGAATGGCTTCAAAAGAATACTTTACAGCTGGCACTATTTCTCCTTCTCATCTTCACCACACTATATAGTCATTTATCTGTTTAGTACTTTGACGAAGCTAGCAGTATGCACTTTATGTCAAGCGCTGTTAAAAGATGATGCTTGTACCTAAATACAACATTCCTACACTTGTATACTTGTTCAGCTAGTCAGTATTCACATCCTGTGAATCATTATCTCTTATCTTGAGCTTGTGAATGCACTTAGTCATTGCCACTTCACACAGCTTGTGAAGCTCTTTTACTTTACCCTTGCAGATATATAGACAAGATTGTAAAGGACAACATTAATATGTGAAGAAAATACTCCATATTTTCTTGGTTTATACAAATTTGCAGCGTGTGAAGCTGTGTGTTCTTGCAGAAATAGTGCTTCCCTGCAAGCTGCCAGGCTTGCTGTTGTGATGTTTACGAATTAATATCCCGCTCTCCCTCTCTCTACAGCCATGGCAGACTTCCATGAACAACCGGAGTCAGTTCACGCTGAGGAGGCCGGCGTGGCAAGATTCCAGTGCCAGATCCACGGTCTGCCAGAGCCGCTCATCAGCTGGGACAAAGACAGCCGTCCGGTGGACACCAAGGACAAGAGGTTGGAGCAGACCACATCACAGCCTGATACTTAGAGATTTTAGATGGCAGCATGTTATCGTCCATTTACCAGGTCTCACCGTATTTGTCTCCTCCTGCCTCTGTTTTCTCTCGTAGGTACACCCTCTTGCCGACAGGTGTTCTGCAGATCACAGGTGTGCGTGACGAGGACAGTGGAAAGTTCTGCTGTGTGGCTCATAACAGTGCAGGAGTGAAACACAGCACCGAGGCACTTCTCACTGTATCAGGTCGGTGCATTTGAATCTTATATTTCACATCTACATACCATGAGCATGCTATCTACCCAGCATATCCCTAGATTTTTCCAAACCTATTGTTCTCCTGTCTCATTCAGGAGATATCGAGCTAATGCACTCTAGAGAAATCCAATTATAGGATGCCATCCATCATGCTTGGTCCCATCTTATCCCCCCCTCTCCCCCTGTGTTTTTCTCCAGGCTCTCAGTCATCTGTTTACAAAGAGCCTATGATAGTGGTCGGTCCGGAAAACCTCACCCTCACTGTTCACCAAACCGCCATCTTGGAGTGTGTTGCCACCGGATACCCCCGACCCATCGTGTCTTGGAGCAGACTAGGTGAGGAAAAAAATCCAGATCAGATCAAAGAAACGACCCCACAAGGTGCACATATGGATTTTGAATGTTTTATTCTGTGCAAGTGTGTTTGTGTTTCTGAGGATTCATGTGTCACTGAGCCCTGTGTGCGTTTGTGCTTGAGAGATCTGAGAGTTTTGTGTGGGTTGTATGTGCTTGGTGTCCTTGTGTGTTTGTATGTTCTCTGCAGCACAGCTTTGATCCGTCCTGCATTGTGTAATGTACATGAGCGCACAGAATACATTTGATACAATGGAGCATCCATTCAACATTAGGCCTTGGGGCTAAACATTATGTTCGTCTTTGTGTTGATAAATGCATGCTTCATCTCCTCATGAAGTTGAACCTCCTTCGTAGCACCGACGAGCATCTGAGTAATTGCTATGAGGTGCTGAAACATATACCATTAGTTTCCCCCTCCCACATTTTGTCTTTACTATCACTCAAGGTTTGTCGTGACCATTTTTCCAATCAGGTATCTATTTTCTTTACCTATTATGCAATCTGATTTGCTGCTCCAAATGTAAATTGCAGCCCCTCCCAAGCATTTGGGCATAATCAGATTGAGGGTATTGGCTTACACAATGTCGCTAGAATGAAATGCTAACACGATGGGATTTGTATGAATTAGATTACGGCAGGGAGGCTGGGATAAGGTGCATAATGAATCTGATAGTTTCACATCAGTCACTCTTAATGCCAGAGTTTGTTTGCTGCTATTCATTCAACAGCACCACAGCCCACTAGCTTGTGCTCTTTCTCTTCTGACACTAAGTTAATTAGTGCCTGACAGAGAGAAACTGATTGAGGGGGCAAGAGAGAGAGAAAGAAATATAGTAGAAAAAGGCAAGAAAAGAACAAGACGGCTTTTGATGAGACAAAAGCTCTCTGGACTGAGAAGTTAGTTTGAGATAATGGAAAAAATGAAATAATAGCAATTAAACAAATCGTAGTGACAGACGCAGAGCAAAACGGCTCGGCAGGGAAGCTAGAGTGATTTATTGCATTTCAATAATTTGTCATGATTAATTACTAATATTGTTCTCTACATAATCCATCACCACCAGATTACATCTTCATTGGATTACGTTTAATAGATTTGTGTGGATTGTTCACTTCACCTGAAAAGCTGTGAGAGGGACTGTGTGTTTTCTGTGATGCTTTGCAATGTAGGACCAGTACATATATCTGATTAAAGAGCATCCCACAACTCATATTTTCACATTAGCTTGAGGCTGATTTTAATTGCATTATTATTTTTCACTGAATTTGTCCAAATTGTCTGTTTTATTGTTGATCTTGTTATTGTTAATCCCTTTATAATCCCTTCATAATCTATATTGTTTTCTATGTTTTGTAATAAACACATGAGTGTTATTTAAAGGAAGACTTAATCACACAGCATAAACTAGAACTGGCCATGCTTTAATCATTTTCATTAAAGATATAAAAGCGCTGTTTTGTGACCATATGGTTTTTATCCCTGACTGGAGCTCTTGATTGCGGTCGAATAGTCCATTTAGCTTAGGAACCTTCCTAACGGAGTGAAATGACCCGGAAGTCCCTCAGTGGCAGCCATGATAAGTGCCGTTCGAATTCTCTAAATTAAAAGGAAAGGAGGTTTCAAACTTCCTTTATAACCTCCTTTAGCTTAGGAACCACTGGACCTCCCTAACCGAAAGGAGAGGAGAAAATGCTGCCCCACAATGCCTTGCGGCCGCGGCATTTGCCGTCACACAACAGTCGGCCGTTTACGGAAACAACCGATTATGAACGAGAAATTATATCATGAAAGTTACGGTGCTTATTAAGCATTTTAAAACGTATGTGGTAAGTTGCCAAAGTGCTTTGTTTTGAACGTTCATCAGTATTATAATCAAAAAGAGAAATATGAACGTTAGTTTTTACTGAAATGATCAAATAAAGTCAACATTTCACAGTCTTTACTGAGCTGTCTGGGGTTTGTTCAACTTTTAAAAGATGTTTGAATGGTGATATACTAGTGTATATGATATACACAGTGATAGATGTTAAGGACTAACGTTTATAATAAATACATTTGTATTGATTTTAAGATCTTTTCATACAATCATACGTATTGGGATCATTTGTATTAATGTGGACCGGAGGGAGAGGGTGACGAGCATAAGTTCCTTTTTTATTTCAATTCCAACTTTGGTCATGAAGAATATGTTTCTCTGTTGTCCCCGTTCATAAAGCATAAAACAACAGCATCAGAGCACGGTGCAGAGTCTCTAGATGAGTTTACAGTAGTACAGTAGTACTCGTTCGTATTAAACATCCATGTTGTAGTCCGCTGTATAGAAAACTGTAGTTTCCATAGTTTCCCCACAGCAGCAGGCGCACATTTATGACCTCCGCTGGCGCATCATAAACACGTCGGATAGTGAAAGTGCAGTCGGATTCTCTAAAGTACCGCAGTCTCTTCTCCTAAATCCTTTTGAATTCTCCTATTCACTATCCCTTAACCCCGTGACGTTTCACTCAGAGGTCAAAGGATAGACGATAGGGTTAGAATTTAGGAGCTGATTTTTTGGAGTATTCGACCGCAACCCCGGGTCTCTGCATGAGTCCAAAATGGTGGCGATCTCCCTGCCTTCCTGACTGGCCTTTTAACACGTCAAATCTGGACCATACAGGCTTACAGGCTGCAGATGGAAGTCATAAATAGGATCAGTATGCCCCCTTGGCTAGGGCTGCTCGATTATGGCAAAAATCATAATCTCGATTATTTGGGTCAATAATTGATATCACGATTATTAAAAAGGATTATTCATTTACTTTGAAAACATCAATTTATTGGAGAAAAAAAATGTGAACAGTATGTTTTTAACAGTTGATTACCCTGAACTTTAAAGGTAGGGTAGGTCAGTTTGAGAAACCGGCTCGAGATACACTTTTTGTTATATTCCATGGAATGCTCTTAACATCCCGATAGCAATGAATATCTTAAGTGCTTTGACAAAAAATCCATAAAAAAATGTCATCTGTGGAAGCCGTGGTACTGTAAAAAGCACGACCAATCATTTTAGCCGGCCCGGCTAAAATAACTGGATGGCCTACCTGCCTGTCAGCCTTCCATCTGTGCACAAACTTATCTCGTGCCCTCATTGGTCATGTGCGCGTTCGTGTGTGTTGGAGGAGGGGCTCTATAAGGAAGAGGCAAATTTTTTCCGGCTGTGTATTTTCAAATTCTGGCGTACTCGAGCTGGTTTCTGCAAAGTTACCTACCCCACCTTTAAGTATAATTCCACTGAAAAAAAAAAAAGTAATTTAAAAAAAAAAAAAAAAAAGTAATAATAAAAAAATAATCGTTTTATTTCGATTACGTTGTTTTCGTAATCGTTGCAAGCCATAATCGTAATTGCGATTAAAATACGATTAATTGAGCAGCCCTACCCTTGGCCCCATAGCTAATATCAGAGGCAGACTGGTGTCATTGTTGGGGTAGAGACTGCAGATAGAAGCACAGGAAAGTGTGAGTTTATCATGTAAGTACAGCAGGAGGAGGCAGCTACAGTATGGATTAGGGAGATAGGAGATTAGACGCTGCAGTTAGAGTTCCTGGCCCCCCCGGTGGCGTAACTGTTTAAAAGCAAAAGTACTTTGTTAGACAAAGGCATAAAGAAAATAAAGTTTCAGCCCAAGTGGGAAAGCTTTTATTACCTGAACACCTACTAAAAAAGCTGTACTTACAATAACAAATGAACAAACAGATGATGAATGTCCTCTGTAGGATGTCACCCTGACAACAAGTTACCTTTAAGACAACTAATTAAAGCATGAACGCCGCTCACACAGCACACAGGAACTCAGTGAGCATCCTTTCTTTATTACATTTGAGTCTGTTGTATTTGCTGCTTTGTCAAATGATCTTACAATTCTAAGGATGACACACTGGGCTTTGATAGCTGCATCCCTGACCGATAACAGAACGACCATTGCCTCTTTCTGACTTGTAAACGTTGTTTTATTCTTTCTTGCTGGGGATTCAAGCCCACTTTGACACATTTACTTCAATGTAACATGAAAGCATACTGTAGATGTGCACACCTGGTCCTTTTCTTCTGCTGCCCTACATACAGTTATTATTTTCCCATCCTTCTCAATTCGTCTCTCTCTCTTTCTTCCCCGGGTAGACGGCCGTCCCATCGGTGTGGAGGGCATCCAGGTACTCGGCACAGGGAACCTGATGATCTCAGATGTGGGTGTGCAGCACTCAGGGGTCTACGTATGTGCTGCTAACAAACCGGGGACCCGCGTTCGTAGGACTGCTCAGGGACGTCTGGTGGTCCAAGGTGAGGATTATAGGAAAGTGCTATTTTTCAAAATGTTGTGTAGGAGTCGTGGAGAGAAACACAGAAATACAGCTGGATTCAGGTGATTAGGTAAAGCTTGTGGATTCTGTGGGTGGACCCCTGTGTGCAGGCACTCGGACTGCCATGGGATAACTTCACCGCCTTCCCATCCTCAACACAAAGCATTTCTAACATTGCTTAGCTAGGTAGTAGCTGCTTCGAATAGTGAGATGGGTTAGATGCAAAGGCTATATATCACTTTATGCTTTGGTGTGTACATGTGTGATGATTAAAAGTGTATTTAAATGTCATTTTACTTGACATTTACATGTATCAAATCAGTAAGGTGGATATAATTAATAATGAAAGAAAAATAAACCTACAACATCAAATGAAGCAGTCATTTTTGTAAAACCAACCTTTAAGTCACTAAAATGTTGTTTAAAAAAGCTTTTACCAATGTTGCCCCTTCCACACGGACAAGAAACCATGAGCAGTTTAGTACATTGGAGGCACATGTAATTGCATCTTTTATGGCAAAAACCTTTTTCGAGATTGGGTGAACAAAGCATGTGTTTTGTGTCCAAAGGGATACTTGTGATCAGAGATAAAAAAGCGTCTGTTAGGAGAAGGTTTATAGACCAAGTTGGCATGAATTCAAGAAGCATGCTCGAAACAATAATCTAAGCAATTCTTTACACTTATATTTCACAGATAAATCAGAGGATAAGACATGTCAATGGTTTGCTGGTTTTGTTTAAGTCTGTGGAGCAAGTATTGTTAGAAGATATAAAAGTTTGCAGGCATGATTTACTGTGTCTTTGCGTCAAGTATTCTCACTTCACAATCTTTTATCACAGCGTGTTAATCAAGTTCTGCCACAACTTGACACATTCAACTAAAGGACTGTATTTCTCTGCTTCTTTAGTGTGGTAGTTATCAGTGTTTTCCCCTCCCTATGGACACACACATAGAAAAAAGCAATTTGCGCGTATTGAATTGCAGGTTTTGATCTTTATAACTCCTTTGAGTTTAGTCTCTCAGTCCAACAATATACACACAGTATCATCAATACAATGTAGTCTTACTCATATACATTTGCTTTATAAAGTGCAAATGTCAATCCTATAGTTGTACTCTTGCTTTGCAAAGCCCTGTAGTAACCTGATGAACTCTGTATAAGAGGTGGATGTGTTAGGATCAGATTGTTACCATGCAGCAAGGACAACTTTGTGAGGTCTAATTGTATAGCCACTCTCAATTTCACAACAAAGCAAAACTCCAACGCAGGTATATCCAGTCCAGTAAACCTTCAGTATATGAATGTAGGGTATTTTTATATTGGAACAAAACTATAAAATATGTTGTCAATAAATTGTCATTTGTATAAATTATATGTATAGTTAATTTGTTATACCATGCAAAACCGGTATTGCCATTTAAGCCTCCGAAGATGCTTTTTATTATTCTACTTTTCTTCTGCTTTATTATTCTCTCCGTGCATTCATCTTCAAACGAGTGACGTAACCTGTACCAGGAAAGTGTTTGATGATAGGCCAGAGAGATGCATGGCTTGACCAATGGGATTAGCCCAGGTGTGGGTGGCCCCCCGGTGCTTTAATTGTCACCAAGCAGGAACATACAGCATCTGCCTCACACTCACATATTGATCAGATGGACCAGGCTTTGCTTCAGCTCATGGCAGTATTGATCCTGGTCAATATTTCATTTTATCTGCCTATCAAGTCAGAGACAAGTGTCACCCCAGCAGGAACAAAGCCATGGATGTTAATCATGTGTCAATGTCTTAGGGTTTGAAAAAACGGTGTGCTGTTACCTAAAATCAGTGTAGGAGATGCTTATTTCATTATAGGAAAATACAAAGCTTTAGAAACTAAAGGTTGTTGAAAAATTATTATTTTGAAGTACAAATAGTCTAGTGTCCACTTGACACCTCTGTGAATATGAGAGGTTTTAAATGGCTATCAGTTCAGAAAGAAAGCATAGCGGCCAGTAACTCCAACCAAATGAATGCAGACGAGAGTACTGCTCATTTATGTTCATTTTAAGGTTTTCCTTTGGTATACAAAAATAAATCCAAGCAAGTCACAGTGTCACAGCCCAAAAGGAAGAAAAAGAGTGAGATGTATGGAAGGTGCTGTGATCCAACCAACACCAACACAGGTGCAGATTATTACTTTCATCAAGGTCCCTTTGACCTTCACCCTTTAAGACGGTCCTGAACGTACACGCTGAGTGAGAGAGGAAGAGAGAACGAACACAGGAAAGAGGACAAGATGAATATAAGGACCCTCACACTGTCAGCAGCCATCATGCAAGTGCATGAGGGCCCCTTAGCTTTTCTAATGGGAAAATCGAAATGCTTACATTGAAAAAGTGTCATAGAACATTTTTTCCATTCTTTATGGACGGGAACACCAAGGAGGACAAAAGAGCTTTACCTTGAAATGAACAAAGCTCACAATACATTGATTGTTGCCTAAGACTTATATGTGACATTCTGCCATAGACCTTTGTTTTTGCACAAAATATATTTTTAGTGACATGTTCATTCAATCCCATATACACAGCAGCTACATGTATAGCTCACATGTGCACCAAAAAGGTATTAGTCCGCTGCGAAAAATAGTCCCTAATAAATTGCACTACTTACTTCTGTTAAAGAAACTAACTAAAAAGATGACCTGTGTATTTGTGACTTGTTTTTAAGATGTAACGCTGGAGGAATGGGCTTGAAACTAATAAACACTTAAGCTTTGCTCTTTATGAACAACTGTTGCCATTTGAGACTCATGCAGGGTTTTTCTTAGCATTAAAAGTCACTTAACATAATTGAAAATTGTATTATTGTTAAGGTGAAATTTTACAATTTGCTCTTACCAGGTAATGATGATTTAAATGATCTGTTTTTTTTACATCATCCAATATGATGGTCCTAGTGTTCAAGCTTTCTACCCTCTAGTGATTACATATTATAATTACCATAAAATTGTTCTTAGTTAATATGGGCATAAATAATTCAGGTTATCAAATCACTGATAATGTCTGGGACAATAACGAGTGCAGAGGAGAGAGTACCTCTCTGTCTGTCAGCTCAAATAAAAACACCCAACCAGTAATTAAACTGCAGCGGATAAAACCGTTATTACTCTGTGATTCAAAGAAAGAACCTTCTCTGCTACCAGAATCCTTTCATATGAATAAGTTATTACCACAAATTGACCATAGCTGGAAGCCTGTAGCATAGGATGAGAGAGGAAATGATGAAACTATGAACTGTAGCACATTATTTTCATGAAAATGTGTTGCTGTTTTAAAGCACAGGGTAGAGCTGTCTTACACTGTCTTGCTCTCTTTCTTCCACTTCTCTGCTCTTCTCGCTCTCTTTTAATTCCCTGTATCTGCATTGATCTGGTGTCTCATATAATCCTGCTAATTGACCCTGTGTTATAGATTGTAATGGTGTTTATACCATACACCTACAGTATAATGCAGTCCGGTGCTTCTTTATTGTAATTGACAGCTGCCTGCCTACAGGGTGGGCTGTCCTATTTCTCCTCTCATTCCCGCTTTGTCTTGCCTTTTCTCTCAGTTTTCTTATTAATCATATTGTTTTTTCTTGCTTTGTTTTCTTCTTCTGACACTTGATATATAACGTTTGGAACCTGTTCAAATCAACCTCTTTCTTTCTCTGGCACTGATTAATCTGTTTCCCTTTCTCCTTCCTCTTTCAGCTCCGGCAAAGTTTGTTCAAGCACCCCAGTCCATCGCTCGGCCCGTCGGCACCACCGCTATCTTCACCTGCCAGGCACAGGGCGAGCCGGAGCCCCAGCTCACCTGGCTGAAGAACGGGCAGATCCTGGAGCCCGGGGGCCACGTCAAACTCAGGAACAACAACAGGTGAGGACAAACATTTTCCCTGTATTCTTACGTATATGTAATCATATAGGAATTCCTTCAGATTGTTCTGGGTTCAGAAAACAATAACCAAACAAAACTAGAGCTCTGCATTACATTTACATTTGGTGAAACTTCTCTTTTTCGGCTTTTATTGACATTTTTTAATTTCAAATAGGAGAGGTCTGCCTTAGCAAAGTTCTATGGCATCATGTTTTTTAAGACTTTTGCAATGCTAACATCTGATATACCAATGTATTCTTCATATTTATATTCTACATGTAGGTATATTTAAAACAGAATGGATAATTCCTATTAGAAGATATGTTGGTACCACTTTTAAAAAGTCACCCTTTACATGTATATTAAGACTCTTTAAGTCGTATTGATGGGAAATAAATAATCAACTTGTGTTGCAGCCTTATTAACCTCTTTATAAATGGTGACTTATTAGAAAGTGGTTCAGTGATCTTATTATTATTTGAATCTGAAAATAGAGCAATGATATAATCCACCACATAATACGAGCTGTCATTAACACAGCGCCGATCTCCTCTCAACCGTGACGACAAACTTGGACCGAGCTCGCAGAAGTAACATGGGTGTCAGTATTAATCACTGCTGCCTTGATCTGATCATTGGCATCATCACATTTTCAATTTATCTGCATAACTGTTGCCTCTATCACGGCAGCTGCTGGAATACACGCTTGCCAAGACATGAGCCTCAATTTATTTGTGCCTTTGTATGCGAGCAGCGTATTGACTGGATGTTGGAGGCTTTCCCATGGCAGTTCCCAGGAATGTCGTTAGGAGGAGGACCCCGAGACAGGCTCTGCTAGTTATCATTCCCAGTGCCACACACTGTAAAACCTGCATTTAGTGGGTTACAGTACTGTAGGTGGACAGAGATCTATCTTGGAGATAATAGAGGAGCAATTACACATTGGATCTACTGTTCAGCAGTTGTAGATGCTGCATGTGAGTTTTACAGAGTGATAGCTGATAAGATGTCATGATCAATAGTTTTCCTTCACATGGTTTCAAGCACTTGAGTGTCCAGCCTGTTGCTAGTACTTCTGGGTGTGTGGTTTTAAACTGTGACACTCCATCCATTAAAGTAAATTCTGCATTTATGCATTCCTGGATGTGGAAAGTGACATTTCTCCAGTCGACCCTTGCAGCCAACCATCCGTGCATTTTGTTATTATTCATAAAAGAGAGATGTGAAGTGAATATATTGAAGTTGCACCCAAAAAAATCAATAATTGCACTCCGTAGCAGTGAGTGAAGGGAGCGGACACCTCCATCGCTCACACACACTGCTCCACTCCCACTTGCCTCCACCAGTCCATATTAGTCAGAGAGATGGAGCGAGGGACTAACAAAGGAGGAAAGAAGAGAGGGGAAGAAATAAATGGAAGGCCGGACTCAGACATATAAAAAAAGAGGAGAAAAATGAACTGGTGGTTAGATGAGAAATGATGAGTCGGCAGGAAGAGCAAATGAGAAGAGAGGGAGAAAGATAGAGCGGGTTCAGAGAATCACAGCGTTTTCCACTTGCCACCATTAGTGTATGCTTTAGACCTGCTATAATGTGGATGTCATGCATCACAGACTCTGCTCTGTGATTGGTTAAGGAGGCAGGTCTCAGCTTGAGATCTACCATTAGCTAATTATCTCATAAACTCAGCCATTTGGAGAGCAGGGCAGCGTGATGTGCATCTTTTTGTATTGTGTAGCTGAGCTGTGAGGAAAACAGAAAGAACACATATCAGTCTGAGTCGTTATCATTATCTCTATTGTCGTAATCATTTGTTAATAGTTTAATGTGAATATCAGTCCTATCCAGAGTGTTAACCCTGAAATTAGATATAACCTCAATTTTGTTTTTGATAATGTTACTATTTCCTGGATTGCGTTCATTCCCAACTAAAAATTATTCTAATCATTGATTAATTGCCGATTTATTTTATTATTAATAAACTTAGAAAAAGATTATGTAGTTAGAGTTTGGGAAATTTTGACTTGAACATCACAATGTCCCAAACTCTAACCCCAAACAAAAATACTCTTTGTTTATTATAAATAGATTAAAGTAAATCCCAGCAAAAATTCACATTTGCAAACCAGTAGGCTACAGGTGTCATTTTTACTGTTTTGAATAAAAAAAGAATATGAAATGTTTTCAATAAATTGGATCTAAATAGAGTAACTGATTTATAGGTTAGGGTTAAAAATGTGATATGTTACCAGTGAAATAATGTTCACACCTAGCGTGGCCTGGGAACAGTTACCAGAATTGACTTTTCCTCTCCCAGAATATAATTTAGTGGAATAGCGTTCCATGGTTAACATTTCATGTGCAGTACACACATTAGAGGAGAAAGGGGTCGAACAACCAACCCCCATGATTAAATCAAGTCAAGTCAAATTTATTTTTTATATTATTTATTTATCATTGGAGCCTACATGCTCTCCCTGCGAGCTATAACCATCCGCTCAAGTTAAGCTGTATATGAAATTAAAAAAAATTGAAAATAACTTGAAGCCAAAAAAGCTATGTGGTGTGTTTTTAGTGCAGTGGAGGTCCTGAAAGGAGGGAAATGATGTGGCATAGGGCACAATTTACCTCGTGAACCAAGGCAAAACCGCAGTAATGATATGCAAATGATATTCAACAGCTCTGGGCAGCACAACATTTCTGTTCTTATCTATAGATAGATATATATACATACTCTATCGGATACGGGAAGCTTGCATATAGTGTACGTAGCAGAAATATTTTAATTAGTCTGTGTGTCTCTGTGTGTGTGTGCACAAACACACAAAACCACATACACACACATACACTAAGGTTTCTCCCCTAAGCCATCTCTCATGACGCTGACCTTCAAAAGCAAATCGGACGAGGGAAGGAAGGGGAATCGATTGTACATTTCATTCACACACATGCATGCACACACATTAATCAAAAAGCAAGTGAGCCCTGTATGTGCACAAATAGCCCCGTGGTGCATGCCATCATTCGTTTTGTGCACACGCATAATCAAACATGAACATTCACCAACGTGTTGCACTATCTAGCTTCGTCCGCACACACTCTTTACACACTTTACACAAACAAGGAAGACACAGCGACGTGAAAGGCTGCATAAGATGCGATGATGTCAGAGAAAAGCCGATAAGCAGCTTCTGTAAACAGAACATTATTGGGCTCCTGTGAAACATCCTATAAGAAGCCTGGATGAGAGCTGTTACTAATTATGTACTATATAAGGACTTGCCTCACTATAAAGCCACTAAAGCTAACACTTGTTATAATCCAACACGTACAAGCTGTGATCTCACATCAGACAGTGAAATAATCGTTAGGTTGAAATCCAATCTGTGTTTTTTTAAACTGTACTGTTGACGAACATTTAGTCCTCTCTTGTGGTGAATGAAGATTTAAAGGAAAGATCCCATAAACATTTGGTCAGTTTACTCTCTTTCTGTAAATAATTTAGAATACATAGGATCCTTTTTTACACTAGTGTAGAGAGAGTTTAAGTTGTATAGTAAGGGAAAGAACATGCTTCAAGTGTGTGTGAGCATCGTGGTGTGTTTTATAATTAATGGCCAACATCTGAAGGAACAGGCTGCACACAAACCTGGACATTTCGTTGCAGAATCCTTTCAAAGGGCTTTCTTTTTTTCCCTTTTTCTTCTCTTTCTTTCACCCAGACCTGCCTTTCTTGTTTGTGGCCCCTCTCTGTGCCCCACATCCCCCTTTCCTGCCCCCATTACAGAGAGCTGGGGCCTGGGCATTGGCCTTGAACTCTGACCCCGCCTGTAATCAGTCATATCCCTGGGCCCTTCCCTCCTCTCAGGCCAGAGACAGCTCATCGTTCCTCCCCTCCCCCTTTCCCACCTCTTCCTCCTGTTCTCTCTTTGTCCCCTTAGTTTTCTCCCCCTCTCCCTCTTGCTGAATCCACAATGGCCACGCTGGCTTTTGATGGGGTGCTGCTCAGAGACAACGGAGAGTAAACACAGCCGAACAACAGGCCCAAGGCCCCTCTGTCAGCCACTCCCCTGGCCCACGGCCTTATCCATCAATCTGTGAAGTGACCTTGAACTGATGAGTAAATGATGGTGTCAACCTGTCAGGATAGGACAGCTTGGCTCTGGAGATCATGTAAGACAAGCAAAGAGCCCAAATTCAGGCCATATACCTCCCAGACCTCTTCTTCTGTCTCACTCAGACTTCCCATCCTTCTTTTTTTTTCTCACGCCTTGTAGGGATCTTTGGTGGCCTTGCTCTGCTGTTGAATATTAATGTATTGTACAATTCGAGACAAAACTATTTATTTAAAAGCTCTTCTAAAAAATCATTATAAGAGAGATTTAAAGAGTCCCTTGAACCGTGTGTGGTATTGTCCTCTCCTTGACTGAGGATGTTTGAAAGAGAAACTGTTTTTATCTTAGTCTTTTCTTTCACCTATAGAAGAAAACAGTTGTCCAGACAAAGAACTTAACTTATAAGAAGTATTTTTCTTTGCAGTTCTTACTTCTTTCCATTAACTACATTTCGTAGTCCTTGACTTACCTCAGGTTTTCCTATGTAAAGGTTTTTCTTTTATCTTATTCAACAAAATTGCAATGCAGCCTAAAACAAATTATTCTAAACATCGGGCATCCATCAGGTCTGTCAGGTTTGACGCTATTCTCCTTTGCCAAGTTGTTTCTAGACTCCCTAAAAAAAACAAAGTATTGGTTCACCCCCAAATATGATGCAAAGGTGAAACCAAAACACAGAATCTTTCTTATCTTAGTAAAACATTAAATGAAGTCTTAGCCAACAAAAAACACTATTGATCCCACATCTTAAATCATTTATAAGAGATATGTGAACAATCTAATTTATAAAAGTTAAAATATACAGTATATCTCCAAATTACTTCTCTGTCTCTTACTCATATACTTATTTTCGGATACTCTAAATGTTGAAACCACTAAAGCTTTTATCGTTTTGGAATTTGGAAAGGAAGTTTGGACATCAGGTGTGGTATTTCATAAGCTAAACGTCAGCAGGATCAGACTGCGTATATTTGGCAATCCATGTATACATGTGTCTGTGTGTTCTTGCATGTGAGTGAGCACACATGCCGGCCGCTACTGAACTTTCTGAAATACGCAACGTCTTGTGAAATTTCCCTGCATTCCCCTCACACACCCATGAGGCCCGTCCAGGCCCGGTGGCATTGGGGCAGTGTGTCCCCGGGGCCTCTTTGCGGCGTCTGGTCAGGGCTGCCTGTCTGCAAACACTCCATCCATCGCTGATATGAAAGGCTGTCAGAAATGTGATGGTTGAGTAGTGAGCTGAGGCTGGCGACTGCTGCCACCTCAGGGGTCAGAGGTGAGATTGGCTCAGAGTGGGTGAAACACAGAGGGCCTCTCTGACCTGATAATTGTCCAGATTGAATCCACCTGGCAGAGCGGGGAGAATAATAACTCTTCCACCTCGCAGCGTATTCTGACCCAGATTATAGAGACGTACAGAAATTGTATCCCAGCCAGCACATCAATTTTGAAAAGCAAATGGAACGATTCTCTTCTCCATCCTGCCTGCTGACCCGGCACAGCACCCCCTCGCCCTTACAAATCCATCCTGACATACCACGCTGAGGCTGGTTGGACTTCAGCGCCGTGTGTCGATAGCTGAAATGCCAATTTCTTCATGTCCAATTTCCAGAGGTGTGGACTCGAGTCACATGACTTGGACTCGATTCAGACTCGAGTCACCAATTTGATGACTTTGGACTCGACTTGACAAAATCACAAAACACTTGCGACTCGACTTGGACTTGAACACCAATGACTCGGGACTTGACTTGGACTTGAGCCTCCTGACTTGAGGTGACTTGATAATTTAATTCAGGGGTCTCCAACACGCCGATCGCGAGCTGCCGTTAGAAGAGCAGACTCCCGTCGGGGAGAGCAGAATCTTCAGCCGCTGCAACTCTTGCTGAGAATCCATGCAGGCAGGGGCGGGACTTTATTTTGCTGAGCCACCATGCGGCCAATCATATGCGAGGACACACTAGGATCATACCATTATGTGAAAGAAGGGTGGGGGGCAGACGCTCCAAAGACAGCAGGTGTAGTGGTACAGGCCAGCTACAGAGCCACGGGGAGACAGATTTAAATGCAAGCGCGTCGGAAAAAGTCAAGAAATTTGCGAAAACCGAAAAAATAAGTAGCATCTGGCTGCATTTCAATGATATTGGAGAAAGCAAAGCTGAGTGCAGGATTTGTAAAATGAAAATAGCCTTCAGAGCAGGGGTTTTTTTTGGTAACCACTCAGGATTTATTGCCAGAGGTGGGAGAAGTTCAGATCTTGTACTTGACTAAATGTACCTGTGTGTAGGAATACTCGGTTACAATAAAAAGTCCTGCATTCAAAATGTTACTCAAGTAAAAGTAGAAAAGTATTATCATCAAAATATAGTTAAAGTACCACCTGCAGAGGGATCTAGATGCAGGTGTTCTTTTCCCCATAAAGACCGCCTCGCTGCACATTATCCCTTGCATAAAGATAGAAGTGGGTCCCTTATAACATGTTGTACACAGTGGAAATAAACATTCTGGTTACCTTAACATCAGGGATCTTATACATTAAACTCCTTCTGAATCAAACCGTCACGGTAGCATAACCTTACTGATCCCTCTTACAATAGAGAAAAACACGTTACTTTACCAGCAGAGAGAAAATGGATTATTACATTATGAATGTGACTAATAAAGAGCAGTTTGATTATTAAGTATTATTCTGTTGATCGATGTCATTACATTTGTTGAAAAGCACATAAGGACTTGTTTAAGACTCGTTTTGTCAAAGTTTAGGACTTGGACTTGACTTGAACTTGCCCATCCTGACTTGAGACTTGACTTGGACTTGAGCGCAAAGACTTGAGACTTGACTCGGACTTGAGCGCAAAGACTTGAGACTTGACTCGGACTTGCAAAACAATGACTTGGTCCCACCTCTGCCAATTTCACAGGTCCAGAAGGTGGTCGGTCACAGTCCCCATGCACCGCACACGGCTGATATGTAGTTCTTTCAATACATGCCATGCTTTCCCTCACGGGGATCAACCTGGCATTTCTTAATACATTTTAATTTAATACAGCAAGTATGCTACCTGTCCGTCAAAGAAAGATTACAATCTGTTCAACAGGTTCTTAGAAATTGCAAGTGGCGGATTAGGCAGGGATGCTGCAGGGTGTGGTGAACTCCTGCGGCATTCAATCCTACTGTTTCAACTTAAAGCACAGCATGAGAACCAGGAGCCAGAGGGTTTTCCTTCTTTCAATTGAAAGGCGCTTCTGATCTCTTAAAATGTCAAAACCAAGGTATTTTAAAGCAGAGAAAATAGATAAAGTCACAATACAAGCCCTTCAACATTGCCAAGGTATACATTATGTGCACGTTTTCAATTTTCTCCTGCACATTTTACACGATAAATACAGCCGAAATGGCAATGGTAGGAAAATGGCATGCAGAATTGTTTTGCGCCACAGGGTCTCATTTCAATAGTATGTTAAATGTTTTATTTTTATTTTTGCCTTAGGGCAAATAAGAGGAGTGGAATTATTTATTCTCATCTAATAACCCCTACTCAACATGCACACACACACACACACACACACACACACACACACACACACACACACACACACACACACACACACACGGCTTATATTTCTCCTATAACAGGAGACAGGCCAGGTGGGAGGGAGGGAAGAAGAATCAGCAGAGGTACAGTAGAAGACAAAGAGCAGGGTTGTGGATGTGCGAAGTGAGGAGCGTTGGGTGGAAGAAAGGGAATATAGAGTGAAGGCATTGAGCGTGGGAGGATGTGTATGTGTGTATATAGGTATGAGTGATGAGGTGAGTACATTATGTGGGGATGGACAGATGAAAGGTTTCACTGATGTAGGCAAATTACATTTTTTGAAATAGTGAAATAGATTGATCTACTCTGAGTTCGAGGCGAAGACGAATCAGTTTGAAAGTGCGCACTCTGCATGAGTAGTGAGGATCTTCTGTGCGTACTGCTGCTGTCTGAAGTGTGTGATGTGATGTGTGGCTCTTTCTGTAACTCACTCACACACACACACACACACACACACACACACACACACACACACACACACACACACACACTTTTGACATGCTGTCACAATGTCACATTCATCTTCTTTGCTCTGTGCAGTCCTTTCCTGAGGTGTGAAGTTACAGTACATTTATTCAGTGCAGTCATTTATTTCTTGGAGACAAGTCATACGTTAGTTCTCAAGACATAAAACTATACAATCAAATGTGATGCTCTACTAGAAGAAGATAGAAGAAGTACTTTCCTCAATAAGGAAAACTAGTCAAAAACAGATATCATTGTTATTGTTTGTTTGTGTTCTTTGTAATTATTTGTTCTCTTTGTACATACAATCAGTACAGACCACTGTCTCATTTGTATGCAAAGATGTTGCTTTCCATCTCTAAATGACAAACACTGGTTATGCATTGTCGAAACGCATTCAAAAGATTTTTGATCAGAAAAACAGATATCAATTCATTTTTAAAGAAAAGTGTCACAAGGGGATTTTGACAATTGTAGTTATGTAACAACTTTGGTACATAACATCCTAAAATGTAATTAAGATTCATTTAAAATAACTATTAACATCATTTTAAAATGAACTTCTTTGGGTTTGAAAATTCAAACATCTTCTCTTTCATATTGATGTCAGAGAAACTAAACATCCCCCTTTTTCTTTTTTCTTTCCCTCTTTGATTCCTTCCTGTCCCCTCTCTTCTGTCCTGCTCCTCTCACAGCACTCTGACGATTTATGGTATCAGCCAGGACGACGAGGCGATCTACCAGTGTATCGCTGAGAACAGCGCCGGCTCCACACAGGCCAGCGCCCGCCTCACGGTGCTCAGGGCCAACGGACTGCCCGGTGTGCCCTCCCAGGTGCGGGCCGAGGCCCTCTCCCCCTCCAACATCCAGGTGTCCTGGAGAAAGCCGGAACAAAACACGCAGGACATCATCGGTTATGTGCTGCACATCCGCAAGACTTCAGGTAGGGCTGCAATGAAGATCTAAATGGCTATATGCAATAAATTACATGAAAATAAGTCACCATTAGATATGATGATGTGATGAAACGCTTATACTGAAGTGATGGTGATAGACATCACTGACACTGACAGTGAGTGGCCTGGGGAAACAATTGGGGAGCAGGACTAACACAAATTACAAATGGTGCCAGCATCCCTTTAATAAATTACTGTCACTCTCATCTCTAACGCTAAGTAAGGTGTTTCTATGATCAATTAAATGTGTCAAAATGAACACACAAGGAAGTGATCTCATGTTTCAATTTGCATTTTGTTGTTAGAAAATCTGAAAAGGGCCCCAGAGAGAAACAACCCAACAGCCCAATAAACAGTCTCAATTACTGATAACAGAAACTCCCAGTGCGGGTACACTTCTATCCAATGCCAACTTACAGTGGCAGTGTAAAATCATAGAATCTAATAAATTACCAAAATTGTGTTTTTGCAACATTACGAGTTCCTAGTTCCTACTATATACATGGGAAATAATGAGGATAATTAAATAACTAAACTTCATGTATTTTGGCCTTGGGATCTATGAGTGTATTGGAATGATACTGTCTGTGTGTGTACATACATGTGCATGCCTGTTTACACACATGCAGTATGTTTGTTACAGCTTTGGGCAAGTATGTGTGTCTTGTGTGTATTTGTGTGGGGTGAGGGTCTCGTAGCGCCAGCTGCTGTTCTCCTCAATAGTTTCATCAGATGGATAATTAAGGGCCCTGGGGGCCAACGAATAGGATCTGCTGTAATTACCCTTGCAAGATGGTATGGCCCAATGGTTTGAGGGCTGGATGTAGATAGTGGTTATGGTTGGTTGTCTCTGGATTGAGAGCAATAAAATGCTTTAACACAGCCTTTGAAACTCCCCCTTTTGCCCCCTCAATCTCCTCTCTCCACCCCTGCAATTCAGCCAACCATCATCATTCAGGCTCCTAGGGCCAAACTAGATTAGCTATTACCTAACGGAGCTGCTCTGATAAAACCAGCGAAATGGGCAATAACCATAAAATCATGACAGAAACAGATTGTATTTATTGTTTCCTCTCTTGATCCCATTTCCACCACTTTAACGCCTGCTCCTGCTTTATTTTCCTATTATGTGTTTTCAACCCATCCTCTACCTTCAGACCCTGTGGAGATGGAGTATGAGGAGGCCCTCAGTAAGGCGACGCTGCAGCAGATCATCCGAGACCTGGAGCCCTCCACCAGTTACTCTTTCTACGTCAAGGCCTACACATCCCATGGGGCCAGCAAACCATCGGACAGTGTCACGGAGACCACTCACGGGGAGGGTGAGCTGGAGAAAGAAGAACACAAACACACAGCATATCTATCACCAAGAATAAACCTGCTTGGAGGTTTTCAATATAGATTTGAACTGCTTGCTGAGAGTGGGAAAAATGAAAGATTTTGAGCTAGTAGTCATAACTTAACTGTAAATCTTACTAAACACGAGTAGTCACTATTCAAACCACAAAATATAAACTTCGACTATCATATTGTTGCACCATTTTGATTAAGGGTCTGTGTTGTGTTGCAGTGCCAGCGTCCCCTTCTCTCTTCACCAAGGTGATGAACAGCAGTGTTATACAGGCAACGTGGGAACCTTCCTCCAAGATGGGCCAACAACAGGGCTTCAGACTGTACTACAGAAGAGCCCACACTCCGATGTTCACCGGACCCATCCTCTTCCCTCGCAACGTCACACAGTACAACATCACTCAGCTGGGTGAGATGTGTAGCTCGTTAGGATTTAGCTTTATCAACCGACTGATCTCAAGCAGCTCATAATCTCTCTGTGGAGCTGTGCTGAAGATTAAAGTATGAATCAAAGTTATTTATGAATTTCAACAAAGAAAATTAGTGAAAGTGTCACAATTTGATCAATCTTTTAGGTTTAGTTGAATTAATTATTGATTTACCGTGGCTTAAAAGACACGTCTGAACATCTCTTTCCGTCTATTCTTTTTGTGCAGATCCTTCTCTGGTCTATGAGATAAAGCTGTTCGCATACAACCAACACGGAGATGGCAACGCCACCATCCGATTTGTTTCTCTTCGAGAGGCGTTGGAGAAATCTGGTAATTGTCTGACACATCTTTATGTATTTACACACTGTCCCACATCACATCCAGGTCATCCGATTGTATTGCTCCTTCCTGACTTAGCTTTGTTTACACAAACTTTAATGATTGTTTGACTGTGAAGTGTGCTGTGTCTCCTCAGTGTTGGATGCCCCATGTGACTGTGTGAAAGATGAACAGAGCAAAACATCCACCACAGGCATCATAATCGGCATACACATCGGAGTCACCTGCATCATCTTCTGTGTGCTTTTCCTCGTCTTCAGCTACCGCGGCAGGTCAGTACAAACATCATGTGTAAACCAACAATAGTAGCAACTTAAAGGAAACCTATCATGCTATATTTAAATGATATATTGTAGGGCCATACCTATATAAGGTATATTTATACGTTTCTGTTTTCAAAATACCAAACAGATCATGCATTTTAGCCATGCCTCATTTCGCTCTATGTGCTGTTTGCTGTCTACGGGTCTGATTCTGCTAACCACGCCCCCCTGCAGGAGAGGGGAGACGTGCTCTGATCAGCTGCTGGGCTGTCAGAAGAGGGGGAGAAAAAGAGATCTCCGTCCTCGTGTTTTATTATATAGAGTCGTTATTCATTTGTTTTAAAGCTCAATAAATAACAAAGAAGACCTTTGACCGGCACTTTTCTAATTTTGTCCGGAAGATTTAAACTTTAATGGACATCTTGACCGGCGAAACAAACTGAAACTGAAACTCTGCCGCACGGTCCCCTCGTTCCTTGGAAGAGGCGGAGAGGTGGGTGTTTGTCATCTGCTGGTGGACTAACCGGAGAGAATTACAGTGCTTGCCTCGACGGGGAGGGATTGCATTGCAGCAGGAGCAAACGCTTGGCTCGGGGAGGGAGAAAGAAAGCCACAGCGGAGAATAAACAGAAGGGTAACCATGGTAACCAAGTCTTCTTCGCTGCTTTTGTGGCAGACTACAGCGCCACTTACAGGCCTGGCATATGTACTACAGCGTCTCCAGTGCTTTCGAACGGCAATGGCCGTGGCTGTCTCCTCCTGATTGTTGGAGAGTTGGCCCAATAGCCGTAGCGCCACCGTCCTGACGTCAGGACAGTGTTCAAATCTGGATCAGTTTTTATCAGATCCGTTGCAGCCCCTTTTTTAGAGATTTGGGTATGGAGGGAAATAGAGAGGGTTGTGTTTTCTGACACTTGGTGAGTTCCCTGGAACACCGGGGACACATATTCATGTATAAAAGACGTACAAAAGTGCATTTTGCATGATAGGTCCCCTTTAAATAACTTTCCAATAATGGATGTTCCAGGTTAATGTCTGCCTATCATGTGTGTGTGTAGCTGCGTTTCATGTGTGTGTGTTCATGTAATCCCCAGGTTAATGATGTGTAAGGCGGTTCAGGCCACCCCCCAGGCGGGGCACAGCGCTGTGCTGGAGTCCTCCTCATCCTCTCAGGGGGCCTCTGGGCTCAACGGGGGCGCCAGGAGAGAGATGGAGGTCAATGGCAGCACAGCTGGGAAGAAAGTGGCCGACAGCAACGAGCTTGAGAGACTTTTCACTCAGCCCACCACACAAGATACATGCATGGTGAGTCCTGGTTACGAGAAATGATATAAACTGAAAGCCATTCTGTTTTAAATGTGACATGATATTACGACCAAAAATGTCCAATGTTAACATCCAGCACAGCTTACAGCCTCATTTCCTGGTTAAAGTTTGACATGCTGCACGTGCTTTAACTGTGCACAGTCACGGTTTCCCTGTTCAGAGATTATTAACAACCTCACAGGAACATCCACTTTTACTTTAACTAGAAAGCTTGTTTTAAAAGCACGATTAAGTATAATCGTTTTATTTCTTGTGTTCTTATCTTATATTATCGCCACATTCTAATATCTCAGAAGTTACTTTGGTAAATGTAGTGTTACATTAACTGAAAGCCTTGCCTGGAGCTGCAAAAAAAATCAAGCTGTAATAAAGTGTAGAATTTGTAATCTTTAAATCTGTTATACTTTTATTCTCAGTCATGCCCGATTTATTTCCAAGAAGGCATGTAAAACAGCTCCATATACTTATTTATCTTGATCAGAAAATCCTATTTAGCAATATGTGTGAGAGGCTGAAAGTTATGTTTAATGGCTTTTATCCAGGCTTTAACATTTGTACCACCTTTTGAGCAGAAACAAACAACAGTATATGTTTTTTTTACCTCTCCGAAATGTTTCAATCTTTTCCTAAAACCAAAATATGACCTAAAGCATTGTGTCTCTTTGGTTTAGAATAACTGCAGGTTCTAACACTCACTACTTATTGTATTACTACATTTAGGCAAAACCTTAGGAAGAACATTTGGCGTAGGCTAAAGCTACAGTGTTTTATACCAACCTTATTGTGTGATGAAAGCACTCTAAAACGAAGTCGAGGTTAGGAATAATGAGGATAAACAAAAGCCCACAGGCATCGTGGTGGCTGGGAACCTGCCATGTTTCCTGTCTATCTCTACTATGTGTTCTCTATCTAACTCTATTTATAATGCATGTGTTTCAGTCCGACTCCTACATGCTGAATGACACCCAGCTGTCTACGATACCACTGGACGAGTTTGGGCTGGAGCGAGAGACGCAGTTCCAGGAGCATCCTGCAGCCGGAGCGGGTCGGCAGGACCAGGGCTGATCAGGACGAAAGGCCCCTCACAGTGTCCACTTAGACTCTTCTCTCACTCAGGTTGACAAGTGTTTCCTTTCAAAGTAGTTTTTCCTTTTGTGCAAAGATGTTTTTTATTAGTAAGTTAAGAAGTTCTAGAGGATCTAGGACAGTATATCAGAGTGTTTTCTGCCTGAGCCCTCTTCTGGGGGTTGGCTCTTTCTAGCCAGACAGGCCAGTCAAACACTCTTTATTTTTTACAATTTGGTCTTTTGTTAATTTTCTGGTGTCGGGTAGCACACAGAATAGAGGCCCCAGAATGTCCTTGTTATACAATGATGATTTAATTTTTAAGTTTATAAATATATATATATATACATATATATCTTTATCACCTATACAGTATGTCAAAGTGGTTATAAGTTATTGGTCTTATCTCTACTTTTCTGTGGATGTCAAAGACTCCTGCTGCCTGCTCACACTACCAATGATTCCACCTTATCGCTCACAGAAGACCTCAGCCTTCGTCCAGGGACTCGATATATTCTGTCTCAGGACATTGTTTCAGTGATATCAACATTTTAAATGAGGTCTTTCTTGGCCTTCATACAGGCTCTAGACTTGACTGTGTGAACCTTACGATTCAACAAAAACCTACCTCAGCCGGAATGAATGTGTTGCGGGAAGCTTTTCGGGACATGACCTTCCCCTGTGCTCACAATTACGTTACATGCGGAGGAACTGATTGGTTCAAAAATTACAAGATCAGGTGCCGCACTACCTCAGATGTCAAGGATCGTCTCTCTTCTCCTGCTTGTTGAAGCAAAACGAACAAAAAACGAGTATCCAACATAAAGCACTTCCAAATGCTGAAGTTAATGTTCTACCTCAAGATAACAATGTTAATGTTGTCGCTGTTGTTGTTGTTGTTTGTCTGTTTATTGCATAATGAAAAACCCTCTTTTCTCTCCCCTCTGAAATCCTGGTTTCCCTCTGTTGATGAATATGGTGTTTGTAGATACAATGTCAGTACCTCATGCAAGTTGACAGACTGATAACACTGTTGTATGAATTACAGTACGTTAGGCATGAATAATGTTGTTCCATTTTAAGCTTCTTTTTTTTTTTTGAATGAGAAGAGCGTTAGAGATACACTGCATTGCTAATGATGTTTCCAGGGCTCTTTACTGCTCAACGAGTCATATTACATCATGTTCAATTGGACAACAGGCAACATTATGTCATACTGTATGCAGACATCATACATGTGTGTTGAAATAGCGCTGTGATTGAATTGTGTCTATTTGTGTGAGTTTGTATGCAGATCTTCTTCTTTTTTTGGAATGAATGTTTTCATAGGTATATGATTTTTGTAAAACAAGAAATCTTGCCCAAAACATTATGTCACAGTTGTTGGTGTACTGACTTAAAGAAATTGTTCTGGCAAATACGCTTATTGCTGACAGTCGCATGATACCACTCATGTTTTATCCAAGAAGCTACGGCTGCTAGACGATTAGCCTAGCTTAGCACTAGCTTAGCATGTACAGTGCAGCACATCTTCTTCCCTAAAATCACATTTAAATATTTAAATTACTGTTTGAGCACAAATCAAATAGATGAGAAATAACTACGGTATTAGTGAGCTTTAGAGGTTCTAGTTTGCAGATTTGGTTAGAGCAAGGTTGGCTGTTTCCCGTCATTCAAGTCGTTATGCTTAGCTAACTTAATTCCCTCCCAGCTCTATCTTCATACTTAGATGTTGGGAAATACACACATTTTCTTTATCTGTATATATAAGGCTCAATTAATGTACCTATTAGGGGGGATTATGTGCTGGATTATTTCTTGACTGTGAGCAGTAACTCCCAACTAATCATGACATATTTAACGGACAGATGTGAGAGGTGTATTGGTCTTCTCTTACCTGATCAAAACAAAGGAGTAAGCGTGTTTCCCAAAACTGTTTCCTTGATTTGAATGGGATGCAGTGTATGTCTAACCTCAATCTGGATATTTTTTGCTGCAGTGCTCTTATTATAGTGATGTTATTTTCATGTCACATTATCAGCCTCCTTTTTTAAACAAAGTAGTAGCCTTTCAGACTTACGGTGCCCAGGAGACATGACAGTTGCTGGTCATGCTTGACTATTGATACTTTCTTCCTCAAAAAACACAACTGCTGCTCAGCCTCCTCCCTCCTGTCAACACTGACTGGTTTAAGTGCTTCAGGAATACCATGTTTATAATATCGCTGGATGTTGACGATTACAGATGTAGTGTAGAGCAGGGCGAGGGTGACTCTCCAATCACAGGGCTCCTTTCCCGGCTCTCTGTTTCTCTGTGTCGTCACATACTGTACAGGACTTGCTCTGATGCATCATGGTTACCTACCTCAACCCTGTTTTTGGCCTTTCTCTCAGGTCTTAATGAAGGAAAGACACAGAGTATGAACAAAGGATTAGAAGAATACACACATACGTATATAAAAATGTACATATATATATATTGCAATGCTGGTCAGACAGGAAAAGGGTATACAGTACACAAACACAAAAGGAGGGAGAACTTTTTCAGGACTTTTATCTCGTGCACTTACTATTAAAACAACGGTTCAATTTCATGCACAGTTTCAAGAGGATGTGAATGTGTAATTTGGTTCATTTTCTTTTTTCATATCACAAGCCTTCAAGGTGTTTGACTATATATTCTCTGTTGAAGGTTGATCACTGTATAAGTAAACTGGAAAACATAGAGTGGGTGGCACTTACAACTCCAACACTTACAACTCAAATTAATTAATTCATTACATTCGTGCTCCTTAACCTCAGGTTAATTGGTTATTACCTAAACCATGCTACATTTACGGTAAATATATTGGGAATTTCTGACAGGTGCAACATTTTCCACTTAGCAAAAACAAGCACAGAAGAAACATTTGGCAAATGAGTCATTTGTTTTAATGTTTGCAGTGTTGACCTAAATGGTTCTGTTGCCTCACTTCAGTGAAAAGCTAACATTGAGTTGCACTTTGCAAAGGCAACTACACCTTTACCTTTATCTACATTTTTGGTGTTTAATCCAAAAAATGTTGTTTGGTGTAGGTTGGTCAGCTCACTTGGTAGCTATTTTTCTGCCAGCTTTCCTCACGTTGCATTTGCAAAAATAACAACTCTCTGCTATACTGAGAAGCAGCAGAGCTAGCAAGGCTAGCATTTGGTGGTTTTACAGTTTTACCGATATTGAAGCTGTTAAGTAAATGAAGCATAATGAGCAATGAAAATGTAGGAAATTGGAAAATTAAGAATTGACATTCACCTTGAGAGTTGTTTCTGTCCCCACAGAGAATCACTTGCCACCCTCGTGTATTTTGCAAACCTGCATTAGACACAGTTTCTATTGTAGTGATCACCATCGGTACTGTAATGTTATGCCTTATGAATTTATTTGTCTATGCTTATTTGTTTGCAGATGTTTTCCCTGCATTCATTTATTGTATTTAATTGTACGCTCTGGTGTTAATATTATGTTACAAGTGTTTGAAAAACAATAGTGGTACTTTTTCGTACAAAATAGCAGAAACAAATGTTTGAGCCTAAATGTCTCCTGCTTGTATATTTGTATACCTACCAACGTGATATTTAATCTCCAGGGCTGCTGCAGCCTTAATCAGTGTATTTACTGTTGAGAGTAATTTCACTGGGGAAACAAGTGGTGTGCTTTTCTCTCTTCCTTCCTTCCTTCCTTCCTCTGTCCCTCGGTGTAATTTAGGGTTAATATCCTGCAGGAAATTGCCGACATCTCACCCGTGGATGTGACAGATTTTAGTGCCATACTGTTTAACCTGATTCACTGGGGATGTGGTGCAGTGACGATCATGTTTACGTGATAAGACTTTGATAGGTCAGGTTGTCATTTTACTGTTTAATATTAGAACTTGTGTGATTTACCGGAGACTGACTGGCTGCTGTAACTCCACCAGCAGAAGGAACATGATTCCTTCGCTGACACAGAGATAAAAGGGCCTTTGTCTTTGCAGCCTTGGGAAGTGCTATATCACCAAACTAAGCTCCTGTCAGTAAGCCAGCCTCTGTTTCTCTATTAAGGAATCCTGAACTTTGCACAGGGAGAGTGTATGCTCAGGGACTCTCTGATCCTTAGCGGGCCGCACTTGGCCTTCTGGACTTTACAGCATTTCCCTCTTTAAATTCTGCTAATGCCCAGTTAAGGGATGCCTTTTTTGTTGGTCATTTTACATAAATAAAAGAAATAGTTGGCAGGATGATAAACATGTGTCCTCTTTGTGGCTGCTGTGCTAGAAACAGATAGGGACAATATATCAGAAAATAGTTCAAATGCCACCTTAGTTGTGATTACAAACGTGGATGTAGGGATTAGACATAAACACAAAGTAACAACTTCTGCGAATATATAATATGTGACAACTTCAGGGAAATCACATTCACAAGGACACTTCAGTTTTTCTTTAGATCTCAGTCGAAGATTACTGTAAAAGCCTATAAATCCTCCAAAAGTCTGCCTGGATTACCCTAGAAGTGATCGTCTTCTGTGGTAATGCTTCTTGCTGCGTTAAACCTAAATGACTAAAAACCTTCTGTAGTTCTCTCTTTAGTGTTGATACTCATTCTAATGCTGTAACTATTCACTCAATACATCTATAAATAAATCGGCATAACAATTTATTAACCATTTCACACATTTCTCAAGCACTAAATGATGGTAAACTGAATATTTTTGGGTTTTAGACAAAAAGTATTAAATAACTTATCTTGAGCTTCAGGCAAATCAATTGTTAAAACATTTTATGTTTTAACTGTTAACTGGGACAATAGTTTACTGAAATAAATAAAGGTATTACATAAGTATTAAAATTAATTAAAAAAATATTAGTTGCGCTGCATTTTATTCATAGTTCTTCTCAGGTTCTCACAAAAAAGGCATCCTGGTCTGGGCATGTTCAGGATTTCTTTTGCATTGCCAGTAGATGTCTCTAACTGTGTTGACTATAC